CTCTCTCTCTCTCTCTCTCGTGTGTGTTAATTATCAGATTTTAATTGCATTTTATTAGTATAATATGACTTTAGAAATTCATCTTGACCCAAAAGAGAAATATTATGATGATCGGCTCGCACTTTATCTAGATCATAGACCAGGGGCGGTTTATTAATATCAGCCAGTGACTGTTTGCACGTGGGACGTTCAGTCGCTTTGCCAGCAATCATACTCGCAAACAAGTCCTTTAGTTCATGGTGAACGTCCTGCCTAATTATTAAATTGACATGTTACATTTTATCTATTGTTATTAAGTAAAATCATTTTTACTAACATAAAGTGAATTGTTAAATTCACTCAATTAATATATCTAATAATAATCAAATAAATACGATAAACTTCATATAATTAAATACTTGTAATTAGTAAAATAAAGTTACTTGTTTATATCGAGGTCAAAAAATTGAATCAACATAATGCCCAGGCTAAACACGTCTGCCGACGTGGTATAATGGCCGCCCCATTTCACCTCGGGCGCTTTATAAGTGGCGGTGCCTACGTTTGTATGGGTTTGTGAATAGGCATCTTCCACCTTGGCCAATCCAAAGTCAGATAGCTTTACCCAATTATTACCATCACGTTTCAGCAATATATTCCACTGTTTTATATCACGGTGCATTATATTTTTACTGTGCAAGTAGTCCAATGCAACCAGTATCTCTTCGACCATGGTAAGCATAATGAAATATGATACCAAACATATAACCTCGTTTGTATTGCGCTTATAGATGCTCTTGATAGATTTGCAAAATTCATAGAGATCGAGCGGGCAGTGTTCCATTCGGATGTATATTGCGGCAAGGTCGCTTCCAGTTTTACCTTGCTCGCGCCATGACTCGTAGTATTTCACCACGCTCACGTGGTCGCAATTCTGCAATATGCTTACCTCCCTGTTTATGTTCTTCTTGTAGTCACCTTCATCTTCTACTAAATCTACATTTGAAAATAAGATTATCATGTTAACTTATATAGTGTATAATAATTTAGGTTTATGTTATAAAATGTTTAATTAATAATTACACAAATAATTATTAAATACCTTTCTTTAGTTCAATCTTTTTAATAGCATAGTTATTGTTATCCGCCTTAGATTTAACCAGGAATACTTCACCAAAGTAACCCTTGCCAATACTTTTTTGGGTTACAAAATTACTTTTAAATTTACCATTGTCCACTTTCATTTGCCATTCTTTACCGCCAGTATTAGCCATTATTTGTTATTATATATTATGTTTGAATACAATTTTTTAACCAACATTACTTCATTAAAGTCACAATAAAACTCAATAATAAGTTGCATTTCATTGTCAAGTGATAATAACCTTAGTTTCTGTGCTATTATGTGTGGGTTTACATGTGTAGATATGTGGTTAATATAATTAATGGTATTTTATTTACCATCAGTGATGGTCCATCACCAAAAAAGTTTTACTAGTAAATTATTATTTTACTGCATAACTTAATTACCCAATTATTGTTATATTATAAGTATAACAAATAACAGATTTATTGCATTATTATTTATAATAGTAATAATTATTTGCAAAATTTAATTAAATTTAATTGAAAAAAACTCATTAAAATGTAGTTTATAGTCATTTTTATGTTAACAAATACACATTAATAAATTATATAATATAGCTAAATTATATCTTAATTTATTTCAACAAGTTGTAGATAATGTGAATTGGTTTTGTCAATACCTATTATTTAATTTATTTGATTACATTTATAATGAATTTTTTGTGCAATAAATATTGTATAATGGATAAAAATATTTAATTAAAAATTAAATTGTTTAATTATAAGTCAGGCATGCTTAAAAATACAATTAATTTAAAATTTACTAATTTTCATTAATTTTATATTTAGTGAACATGAAATATTGTGCAAATTTTGTATCATAGTCATAGATTTTGGTTATATCAACCAAGCCTTGCTTATTACGATCAAGTACATTTATTAAATTTTCTCTCACATCCAGGTAAGTTTCGGACCATAATTCCCTATTAGCCAAAATCTCATCTATCGAGCTCCTTTTTGCCGGCAGCCTCTCTTTACAATTATGCATAACACGACCAAGGGCATTATGTTTTAAATTGTCTGTGTTAAATATCAACCTGTGCATGTAGGATTTAAATAAATAAAATTAATATATAATTTTGTAATAATTAAATTTGTGCAATAAAATAATTATTACCTGTTTCGATCTACAGCAAAAATATCCTCAAGCACAACACCCATGCTATAAACATCGGCTTTTACCCCGTACTGTCGTCCGGCTTTAACCTCCCAAGCCATATATTTGTGCCTGATACTACTGGTAAACCTGCTACTGCCGGTACCCATAGTGTGCGTTTGTGAATCACTAAGGTGTTGAGTAGCCTTGCCAAAATCGGCCAATTTGACCATGTGGCCACTGGCACCATGCTTAATTAATATATTCTCAGGCTTAATATTACGGTGCAATATGACGGGTGTTTGGTCGTGCAATGTTTGTAGGGCTTTAAATATTTCTTGCACAAGCTCGGTGATTACAAAGTAGCAAGCTCGTTGTGTGGACTGACCAGGCACACCAGTGACATAGTCATGCACTCGTCTTATAGCGCCAACCAGATTGAACCAACATAGATCCATTTGTATGTTAAGCGTATACATGTTGGCTTTATAATCAAACCAATGATGCCTGTACTGAACAAAATGATCCGTGTCCAATTTGGCCCAAATGCGTATTTCTTTTAATTTGGCCATACAATCATCACGATCTATTTTAATAAATTAATTGGTATATAGTATAAAATACATGCAAAATACAATTCTTTGGATGAATCCAAATATAATGCATAAATATGACGCCAATTATACAATTTTAAAATATCTATCATATGTACAGTTTTATAAACAAATTATTAACATTGCTGAATTAAATCATAGAAAACTATTTATACTAATAATGTGCTCAAAAACTATGTAATACAATCATCACAATCTATTTTAATAAATCAATTAATATATAAATTGTTTAGTACAAAATAAACCATTTCTGTAGTTATTTCCCAATATAATGTTTTAAAACGACACTAACTGTTCAAATTAAAAATATAAATCATGTTTACAGTTTTATAAACAAATTATCAACTTTGCTGAATTAATTCATAGAAAACTTAAGTATATAACTGTATTATACAGTACAAACAGTAAGTATGTAAAATAATTATTTACATCATTTTAAATAATTACCTTTAAAATTAATAGTTTTAATAGCATAATTTGTCTTGGCTAATTTTTGCGTCACTATATACACACTCGTGCTTAATTGATGTCCCCAATCAAACTCATTAAGAAAAGTACCGCGCTCACTATTTTGCTGCAAACTGTTTAAGTATGAACTCAACTCGGTCATATTAATGTCGGAATCGCCAGAATCATTAGTGTATTTAATTTTGCCAGCATGCTCAATTGCAGTTATATTTGCTTTAATATCAAGATTAAAATTATTCAATTTTAATGTGCTTAGAGTTTGAATGGCCTGATCCGCGTTAGGTCTGCTGTCTGGATATAAACCCGTTAGTGTTAAAACAAACTTTTTCATTTCACCATGGTTGGGCTCCAGTGCGTATCCTGGTAATCTGTTTAATTAATTGTACGTTAATATAATATTTAATTTCTATGTATTTTTATGACATAGTAAACTTACGAGGCAAAATCAAATAGGTCGTCTAAAATGATCCCGGTGCCATAAATATCAGCTTTGGTATTATAACGATTATAATCTTCACACACTTCTGGCGCTATGTATCGCCGAGTGCCTAACCTTGTCGTGTGTGTCATATCAAACTGACCAGCTCTATGATAAGTAGCCAGGCCAAAATCGGCAATTTTAATCTGCAATCTATCACCATTAACTATAAGTATATTATCCGGCTTTAGATCTCGGTGCATAATATTATTATCATGCAGATATTTTACGCCCACCATAATCTCGGTAAATATATAATGGTTGATCGCGTAATTCTCAAACGAACATTTCACTGGCTTAATATAATTTGCTTTTGCCTTGATAAATTTAGATAAGCTATACGAGCAAAGGTCCATTTGTATATATAACATTTGGCATGGTATATCTTTAAAAACACCATGCCTAATCTCATCGGAATAGGTGCCATTTTGTAGCCAATGTGTACGATATTGCACCACGTACTCAGACTGTAACCTTGCCCATACCTGTATCTCCCTGGTATATTTATCAAACCGATCTGGATACTTTATGGGCACTTTTTTGACCGCGTAACTTTTGCCAATGAGTTTGTGACGAGCTTTAACTACTGAACCAAACCCACCACTACCCAAATCATTTTGCACAATAAAATTATCTTGAAACCTTTTTAAATATACTGGACTATTGTCCATGTTAAATTCGTACAATTAATTTAGTAAACAGCAGCAATAATTACAAAATGGTTATATGTGAATGACAATGATTTACTGTGTAGGATTGTTGGTGTACTACCTGTATGAATCATATGATAATGTTATCATATGTGTAGATAAAGGGTTGAAATGCAAGTTATATAATGTCTTATTATATTTGCATTGTTAGATAAAATACTTTACTATTGTATTATTTTTATGTTTAAGAAATACTTATGGTCAAAGTGCAAAAAATCTATTATCTAATAACTTAAAGTATAACGCAAATTGATTAAAATAAATTTATTATTTCAATTATAAGTACATAATTGATATGTATGTAATATGTAGCATGTAATATTTAAATAATGTAAAGTAATAAGTAATAAAATTGTAATAAGGTAAACAATAAATTTTAAAAAATGGCAAAATTAGTACAATCTGTGTAACAATGTAACCAAGAATCATAGCTATAAAAATTAGATTTTACCGTTGATTTAATAGAATTAATAAGGTAGTTAATTAATTTCGTATAATTGTTTTTATATTCCATAATAAAAATACTTAAAAATAAATTTTATAATTTGAATAGCAAATATAATTCTAACATTTATCCAATAATCCACGTTTTATACATTCTATTAAAAACATTAGTAAACATCACTTACATGTATATTTACATGTATACATGTACATTTAAGATTTTCTTATAGATATATTTGTTTTTACACAATGTTCCATTGACATTTATGAAATATTATGGTTAAAATAATTAAAATACTTAAATATTATTAAAAGAAACTATTAGTCAACTTCCCATATACTTGATAAGTGGAAAGCCTGACTCTGTGCAGTATTATTAACCGCTAAATATATTTTTAATTTAATGGACAACTAATTAAGCATAAATCATTTTAAAAAATTATTTTTTTTCAATCAAAAAATGCAATATAACATGGTTGATATTTGTAAATAAAATCATAATTGATATGTATTTAGTATTACATATTACTGTAATATTATATTTTAATTTTTTGGTTTTAAAATTAAACTTCATATTTAACAAACTATGCTTTGCATTTTTCATTTAGAAAGTACTGAATAAAATTATCACGGTCATTATATGTGCAATCAGTGACCCCGGTGATCAGGTGTCTGACATCGGTGAAACTAGTGGCCCATTGATCGCTAATTGCCAATATCTGTTCACAAGTAGGTCTCTCGTTAGCCGTGCCTTTTAAGCAATTGCCGATCACGTGTTCAATTGTTTTATACATGTCATCTGGATTTAATCGCCTGTTAATAATTATAATACAATCAAATTTATATTCATTTTCATTTGTTACCACAAGGTTGCTAAATTTCAATGCAAATAAAATATTCAATTGTATAAATTATTAATTATAATTTTTTATTAGTGATTGAAGCAATATACTGTAAATGAATTTGTTTTAATAAGCATGTTATTTTAGATTAGCCTTCGTAAATCACGTTAAACTTCATTGTTTAGAATTATAAATTATTAAAAATTAGAATAAGTATAATTACCCAATTGTATTATTATCAAAATTGAACAAATCCTGGCCAACCATTCCCAAACTGTAAATATCTGCTAAGGTATTATACCTGCGCCCACCCCTAACCTCCGGTGCCATATAACGTTCAGTGCCTTTATTCTGTGTATGTGACATAGCCTGGGGATCGTGGTAAACGGCCAGGCCAAAATCCGACAATTTTACATACTTACCAGGCTGTTTGTTATGTGGGAATATTAAAACATTGTTCAAGTTTATATCACGGTGTATTATTGGCGGTTTGCCAGTGTGTAATATTTTCACCGCGGTTACAATTTCCACCATTATCTCAGATGCCATATAATATCCCAATGGGTTAAGCAATTGTTTCCTCTCTGACTGAAAGTATTTAAGCATTTGTTCAATTAGTGTACCCAATGATAGCCAGCATAACTCCATTTGAATGTACAAATATGGCACACGGTCGTTTGTCTCGTTTTCAAACTCAACCCAATGATCATGGTATTTTACAAAATATTCATTGTCTAATTTTGACCATAATTCTATTGATTTAATTGTTAGCTTTAGTTCGTGCTCACCTAGGTAAAATATTAAATACACTAATTAACTTATTTGACATAAACAGTGAATTTGATTGTTACCATCTAATTTAACTTTTTTGACAGCATAACGCATAGTATCCCGATTGGCAATGGTGTTCAAAATGTCACCATATCTACCCGGTGTAGTCAGGATATTATCGGGTCTAAAGTCTCGTTTGAATTTACCATTTTGAAACACTGAAAAATCCAACTCGAGATCCATTTTGTTTTTTGCATCGTTTGCGGATTTTTCATCGCAATCGTTAGCATTGCGTTTAACGGCCAAAAAATATTCAACAAAATGGCTGTCGTGATTGTAATTAGCGCTTGAATCAATGCCCATCATGGTGATGTCCACTCTAACACTTTCATATACCGGTGCCCATTTGCTCCGGCACTCGAGTATATCCTTACATGATGGCCGATTGGCAATAAGTCCGTTAGTGCACTTGGTCACAATATCTTCTATAGTACCATAGTATTCTTTGTGTTTGTTTTCCAATTTCCTGTGAGTAAAATACAATTATATTAGTTAAGTAACCAACATTAAATAAAAAACTAATCACAGCCAGATCTACACATTGATCCAATGCAAATATCCGCGCGGTATCTACCCTATAAATATTTAATAACAGTGTAATATTGTCGAATAAATTTGTGAAATATTCCTGTGTGCTACATTATAATTTATAATACAATGAAAAGTACAATTATACCCGATTTTATTGACATCAAAGTTGAACAATTGTTGGGCAATCACACCAACGCTATAGACATCGGCTTTGGTATCACAAATACTGCCGTTTTTTACTTCCGGTGATACATATCGGTCACTATCACCGTTGATAGACTGTAATTTCGATGGGTAGTCGCCGGGTAAGGACCTAGCACTTTCGAGACCAAAATCACCTAGCTTAATAAATCGTCCGCTGCATGATTCGTGTTTAACAAGTAGATTGTCAGAATTAATATATCGATGAACAATGTTTAATGAATGTAAATATTGAATGGCAGATAGTATCTCGGTAAATAATTCTGATGCCATGTAGTAACCCACGGGTGGTAATAATTGGTATTTAGCATGGTTGAAGTATGCTTGAATTTTGTCCATGAGCGTTCTTAATGAGAACCAACACAAATCCATTTGAACGTATAACAGTTTAACATGTTTATTTTTGTGCTCCTTTAATTTTTCACCATTTTCAAACCAATGGTACCGGTATTGAACGCAATAATCGGGGTCTAACTGCGCCCATAATTGTATCCCTTTTAGCGCATGTTTTAATTGATCTGGATCTAAAATAATGCTATTATTATTAACACGTGTTAAATATTTATATTAGCTTGTTTATTTACCGACACATGCTATTTTCTTAATAGCATAGGAGCTGTCGATTAATTTATGTTTAGCTTTGTACAACCTTGATCCAAATGGCGAGCTATTTGAATTTAATAGATCCATAATGTCAAAATCGTTTACATTGACCAAGTCTATCTTTGAATTGTCTTTTATATAATCTTTTAATCTGGTTTCATTATAAAAACTCTTTACATCAATTTTATCTTGACTATTTATTGTATCCATAGAGAACCATTGCTTGATTTTAGTCATGATACATTTACTTAATACATTTCTATAGTCTGCTTTGTTATCGACACTATAACCAAGTTCTTTTAACGCAAAACTACTATCAATGGCCAATTCATTAAACATATCCAAAGTTTCTCTGATGTTAGGCCTGTCGGATGGCATTGTTGTGGTAAGTTGCAAGATAAAATGTTTCAACTTAAAACACATATCTTCCAATAATTCATCACTGTATTAATAAAACAATATTTAATTAACAGTTACACAAATAACTATTATAAATAATGTAATTTTATGTTACAACATGGATCATTTACAAATCATACATGTAAGTAAATTATGTAAAATATTGATATATAAAATGGTGTTTTATAACTTAATTACATAATTTTTGATGCAATATTAAATCTAACTTACCCTAATGAATCAAAATTAAATATCTCTTCACAAATAACACCCAAACTATAGATATCTACAGCAGTGGTATAGCGGGACAGGCGGTAAACTTCGGGCGCTATATATTTAGTGGTGCCAACACTAAGTGTATGGGAATGTATGTCATTATTATGTAAAGTTGCCAGCCCAAAATCGCCAATTTTTAAGCACAATATACCATGAGTAAACGTGAATAGTATATTACTTGGTTTGAGATCTCGGTGAATGATCGTCGGTTGGTGAGTGTGCAAATAATGAACGCACTCGGCCGTTTCCAGAAACAAATAGTACGATATCAAATAATCCCATTGGTCAATGTTGAAAAAGTGTTTACGCGGGTATTTTTTAGTTTTCATCGTGATCAAATTGCGCAAGTTGTCCACGCATAAATCCATCAAAATGTACATGGTCAGCGAAAGATCGGCACCCGATCGTTCCAGCCAGTGCACAATGTATTGGACAACATGGTGCGATTGCAATTTTGACCATACGTTTAGCTCGCGCATATATTTTTTAATATCATCCTGCTTTTTCACTTTAATTATCTTGATGGCGTAATCACGGTCAATTAGGTTGTGACTCACCCGGAATACATCGCCAAACGACCCAGAACCAAGTTTATTCTTTATAGTAAAATTGTTGGCTGATCTACCATTACAAACTGGTAAATCATCATTCACAGATTTTTCCATTTTTGTTGTCATTTATATTTTAATAATTTATTACTATTATTTATTAATATTATATTATTATTATGGTTAAAAATTTGGAATAATAAAGTTGAACTACTTTTAACCGTTCTCGTTGAATATCTAATAGAAACAGTTATTAAATAACAATATTTTGAATTTTTGAGTGGGTTTAATGATAAAATATGAGTCATGTACAGTAATAGTCTATTACTAATAGACCAATAGTGTGAAATAGCATTTTGTGAATTAACCATTTTTATTAATCTAATCAAAACCATCACTCAATTAACTTAATGTTAATTTGGTATCAATTGTATTAACCAAACATTGCAATTTTCACTTCACACAAATGGTCTCTTACTGTATATAATTGATAAAACCCAAAAATTTGCATTGGAAATCTAATATCGGCATAATTATTTATTTGAGTGTTGTGTAAATATACGATTATTATAATAAGCAGTAGAACCCAAATTAAGATGGTAACGTATATTTTAACATAGTAATGTGCTCCAATGTGTTACATAAGATAATTACATACCTTTTAAACGCGAATGGTAATTAGTAATGAAATTGATAATGAAATATTTAATTAGGATGGTGACTTATATTTATATTGCAGTATTTCGTTTAAACCGGATGTTTTGCCACATTAATTAAAAATAGTTCTTCTGAATTCTAATTGAAATCATGCAATTCACCTGATATCATCTGACTGATTTAATATTTCTATTATAAATGTTTATATTGTGTTGTTTAATAACAATATTTTTCTGAGAATAGTATGATAAAGAGTAAACAAAAACAAAATTATTATTATAGATTGTAAAAGTCAATAAACTTTTTTTCAAGCTATTAGTATTGTATAGCTCAATAACAAATAAATAAAAGTAGTTTAATTTTTGCCAATTATAAAAACTATTTATATTATCTGATATTATGATAGTTATTTAACCCTTCTGCATAATACTGATATTACATATGAAAATAATTTGACTAAGTTGATAGAATTAATTTAATTAATTTAAAAAACATTGCACTTAATATTCATATAAAATTATAGAAATTATAATTCTAGTAGTTTTAATAATAAATATTAAACATATGAATTAATTAACTTTTGTCAAAATGGAATTAGCATTAAAACAACGATAATGCGCATGGTCACGTAAACTTATTATAAAATGGTTACTCACATAAAATAATATTTTTATAATATATTCTTGAATATATTTAATTTACAAAATAACTGACTTTTTTACTTATTACAATATTCTTTTATAAATTAAAATACTCAAAAATTTATATTCATAATTCTGCTATATAGAATATTATTTAATTAATATTGGATAATTAATATTTAAAATGGAATTATTAAATATATTATAACTGTTTTGTTTGGCAAAAATATTATTAAAAATAAAACCACAAAGAAATATATAGATTAGACAAAGTTTACATTTATCATTTTGTTGACATTTAAAACAAAAACTTGTTTATTTGTAATTGTGTGAAAAATTGAATCATACCTGTATTTTTAATGTAACACGTAGACATAAATATTTTTACACAACCACTAAGGTAAAATGGTGTAACATAACATAACTAATAATTTTAAGATAACATTTTTTATTTAGGATTGTTGTGTATAATTTAACAATTGAATTTAGGTTGACTACGTTAGATACCAAAATAAGTTGTCGAGGCATTAGATTGGTACATTAATAATGTAACATTATTATCTAATAGAAAGTAGTTTATTTTACTGATAATACATTGCTTTTATAAAGTTTTTATGTTCATTTTAATTTGTATTATAAAACATAATTATAAAGTTACTTATTACTTTAGTTAACATTATAATCGATTATAAATAAAATAAATGTAAATTTATTTATCTAGTAAAATAATAATTTAATTCGTGAATTATTTAAGCTAATCAATACAATTTTATTAATAAATAAACAATTTTATATAAGCGAGAATAATAATTAAATTAATTTTTAAAATTCTGGACAAGCCATCTAATTCCGGTACAATCAAGACTATTTCTGGACATCTGGTCAGTCTAATTACAGACCTTTACATACGTTAACTGACAATATTGTCCAAATCAAACACAATTTTGGAACCAAAATACAATTAATTATCTTTTATGGTTTATTATATGGTATATGAGCTATTGTTGGACGTACTCTACAATAGGCAGTAGCAAGCACTATTTGCATACCTGTAACCCTCGGGAAACGCTTACCTGGACAGATACGATATAATTATAATAGTTACCGACAATAATTATTGCAAAAAAATGTATACTGTATATATATACGTGTATATTGCTTATGTGTATGCATTCCAATATTTTTTATCTTCCATGTTGCATTCAAATTTAATTAATATTAGTCGCCAATCATTGCATGTCTATAACACTTCCTATGTTTACTACTAGTGTTGTCAGTGCTATTCAAACAGATGCCTGTTTTGTTAGCAGGCTTTGATTTAAAACTAATGACATTACTTTCAATAAATTTCGTAAACTAAACGATTTATTGCAAAATTTTGTGCATATTTAAGAGTAATTTATAAGTTTATTTAATTGAGTCTTTATAAAACACGTCTGATTTATAAATAAGCAATCAATAAATTTAATTCAATTCAAAATTATTAATATATAAGCCAATATTTCAATTTAGTGATTGTTCAAACCATATTTGCCAACTTATTTATATAACAACAAATAGTTATATTATTAGGTAGACTAAGTATGGAATTAAAGTTTATTATAATATGTTAGTTAACACATAAATTGATACAATAATTACACCGAGACTTCTTAAAAGTTAGTTTAAAATATAGCCAGATATTCTTTTTAATGATTTATTATATGACATTTTTTGTAGAGAGGCTCGACGTGACTTTAGGTGCTATAAATTCAAAAGTACCCACAACTAAGTGCTCGTATCGGCTGGCAGTATGCCTATGGATGTTGTGATTGGTGGCCTAACCAAAGTCACACAGTTTTGTAAACCGGTTAAACATAAAGTTGGGATCAATTAATATATTGTCGGGTTTGAGATCCCGATGAATAACTGGAGGATCAGATATTCAACACATTCTAAGCACAATTCTCCTGAGACAAAATTATGATGTGTGGTCATAAAATGATTCGGAACACATGTCCAATTACCTGTAATTTGATACAGTAAACTATATCATAATGATAAATATTTTTAACATAATAAAATTTTTACAAATTAATTGCGACTCATTGATTGATCCAAATAAGATTTATTTTTATAATGCTATTTATTTAAATATTTGTTTATGAAATAATTTCCAGTTTATAATAATTATATAGACACACACATTTGAATGATTAATAATTATAGAGTGATTGGCAAATAAGTATGCCTAGGTTAAATTATAAAGATTGACATAACTGATAGGCAATTAGATAATGAGTCAATTTCCAAACCCATACGCAAACTGTATTTTAAACAATAAGTGTATGTAAGTAATAAAAATAATTTAATTTAAAATGCCCTAATGGAATCGACCGACTTGTGTGTTTATTGTTAGAGCAACTTTATATTTTTAGTAAATTTACAGGGGTTTGGCTTAGAGATGCTGTAGCTTAATAGACGGCTACACTTGGTAAGAATAACAACCTAAGTTGTAACAATTTAGCATGACTATTGTCGAATAAAATTAGTGATGGCAATGAGTTTCAACACTTTTTATCATATATTTTTCAAAAAATTTAAGAATTTAAAAACACATTAACCAAAACAATAATAACATATTTTGACAATTGTTTTAACAAAAATACATTTGCTGAAAAATCTAAGGGTGGCATAAAAGACCAACTTGTTAAATGCCAAAAATAAAATTATTTCTTGAATGTTTTCCAATACATTATTATTAAAATAAAATAACTAATTATTAATGTCACATATTACAATATTTATAGTTTTTAGTATTAAAATTTCAACATAAAATACAAACAAGGAGGAAACAAAAAATGTTTAAAATTAATTTTAATTTGCATTACTTTTAAACATATAATTTAATTTAATTACTTTATTTAATCCTAATTAAAAATAAGCTTATAGCAATATTTTTCATTTGTGGATGATCGTGAGATGCCTTAGCATGATAAAGATCATTAAATGAGTCGATTTTAGCTAAATTTTAGCGTGTGATTTTCAAATATATTTAAGCACAATTGAAACTTTACACTGTTTACTATGCAATAAAGTTATATAAAATTCTTTGTTTACGTACTGTAAATAAAAATTAATTTACAATGTTAATTATAGCATTTGAAATATATACTACATTATTGGTCCCTTTCACGCTGATCATTATTTTAACATATAATTTAATTTAATTGACCCTCATTAAAATTAATATATAGATTTTTGAATGAGCTCATAGCAATTTTTAACCACTATTCTGATATGAATAATGTGGTTTATAGGATCG